GGGGGGCGAGAAAGAGGGAAGGAGGTTTACACAAGTAATGCAGTTTATATCTGCTCTACTTTTGTTTCTGCTTCTGCCAATGGGAGTGCAGGTGGGGTGGGGTCAGCTGGGTCCGGTGGCCAATGGCAGGACAGAGAGTAGATTTGAAGTGCTGCAGGGTTGGGTGGAGGTACAGGCATAGGCACAGAGCCCAGGCAGTGTTTGTTGAAGGCAGGTATAAGGCAGGGGAGGAATAGAGCTGAGGAAGGATGCTCTCTAAAATTAACTAGAAACTGTTGGTCAGCGTGCTGGGTTCTCTAATCTCTAATGTTTCTGTTATCAGGAATAGAAAGTGAAAGGGAGAAACACACACCAGTAAAACAGGACACAGCCTGGGAGGCTGTAGTGAAAGCCATGGCCACTGGCTGGAACAGAGGTAAAGTTGCGGGAGAGAGAGAGAGTGTGTGTGTGTGTGTGTGTGTAAATATATACATATATGCTTGTGTGTCTATATCCATACAGTATAAGTGTGCATTTATCTGTGTTAAAGCCTATTTGAATATATGGGCATATATATGTATGTGCATCTGTATGGCTGTTGTGAATCTATGTATATAATATATAGTAGATGCCTCCAGTCTGTTTATCTCTGTGAGTTTATTTATACCCCAATTGTATTTTAGTTACTAACTTTTTAATAAAGATAAAGTAAGTGACAATAAAATGGTTTTCTTGCTTAAATCCCAAAAGAGTGCTTCTTACAAAAACAAAAGGTGAGAGAATACAGCAGAGCTGAGGCAGTCTAGGTTACAAATTACAAGAGGTACATGTACAAAGTTATAGAAAATATATATATTTTTTAATTAGTTCATCCCATTGGACCCATCTTCCCTCAAACAGCTCAGATTTGTGTGTGTGTCTATATCTGTGTGTCTGTCTGTAGGGGCTTATCTACAATAGAAAACTTGCACCCATATTCTTTCTAGGTATGTGCATGTGTTCTTTCTGGGCCTGATCCAAAGTGCATTGAAGTCAAGGGGAGTCTTTTCAATGATTTCTATGGGCTTTGGATCAGGCCAGAGCTGAGTATGTGTCTGTGCATGTCTGGACATGTTTTGACTATCCCTGCATGCTTGTGTGTGGGCTCCCAGATTGAGTTGAAAATGGTAGAATCATGGAAATGGCAGACAAAGTGCTGATGAAGGAATTTTAAAGATACAGACTCTTTGTTACGACTAACTCCTGGTGCTGAGGAGAAAATGAGAAGTTTACAAGTGTCCCGTGCAGTTTGCTCTCAGTGTTCCCATGGCATGTCAATCCTTTTTTGTCTCATTGAGACTCTCAATACAAATAACAAAGGATGGTTATTCTGTTCCAAAACAGAACCAACCTGAGCATGTCACCTGAGAAATCTCTATTTAAAAAACACTATTAATTTTATTTTCAAACTTATTATTGGCAGCATCCACATTTTAAAATAAAGGTTTAAAAAAGAAGAAAGGAAAGAACAGATATTTGGGCATCGGTGGGATCATACAGTTATAAATGACATTTTGAGGGCCTGAGTCCCGTTGATTTCAATGTCCTAGATATTATTATTAATGTTATTTTATTATTTATTAATAATTATGATTTTTCACTGTTCCATAGCAAGAAATGGGCAGTCTCCCTTCCCTACTCATGATTAAATTAATGGCCATATTGGGGGCCAGAACGATCCCTTATCCACCTCCACTATCCTCAGGATACTGCACATTAGCAGGGAGTTGCTTTCCTCGGGAGTACTGATTAGAAATTGTCCATTGAGAACGAACAATTGTAGGCCACATGGGCCCAGAGAGGATGCATTGGGAGGCCTCCCTTTTTCTGTCTTCCCCCATGTTTCTCTCTGTACAGCAGGTGACTCTTTTGTCTTCCCCCCAGGTCATGTATCCAGAGACATCACGCAAGGGTGAGAATGAAAGCACCATACCCACGTCCTTCACAAGGTTTACAGAGAAAGTGGGAGCTGAGAAGATTCAGATCTCACTCCCCTCTCATCAGTGTGACACTAGATTTAACTCTCCTTCTTCCCTGCCTCTCTCTCTTTTCTTCCATCACTATCTCTGAGTCTCCTATCCTTCTGTGAGTTCCCTTTTCATTTATCTGTGCCTCCTTCCCATCCCTCTCATTTTTAACTTGCTGTGACTGGCAAGGTCTTAGCGATAAAGCTGCAATCAGTGACTCCTTGGGATCTCTCTCATGTTTCAGGTGGAAGATATGCCAGGAGGATTTTGTGGAGAATTATGACCCAAGTGTCCTTCCAAGTGTGACTTACCTTCTCTATGAAATCACGTGGAACTCTCGCAGAAGGCCCTGGCAAAGATGGATCTGTAGTGCTGGCGGTGAGCATGCTGAAACGTACTTCCTGGAAGATGTCTATAGAAAGCTAAGATCTAATCCTTTTGTCCACTGCTCCATCACATGTTACATATCCTGGAGCCCCTGTGGGTACTGCTGCCAGGAGATCATAGATTTTCTGGAGAAAATGCCTAATTTGAGTCTAGTCATTTATGTATCACGGCTCTACTGGCACCAAGTCGAAAACAATCGTAATGGTCTGTGGAACCTGGAGAATATCGGAGTGTCCATCCAAGTCATGGATCTCCCAGGTAATGACTAAACCTCCCAGGTAATGACTCAGGGTTACAGGGTCTGGATGGTTCAGAGGGGATTAGTGATGGGACTGGGGGCATTTTGCCTTTAGGTCACTGGTTCCAATTCATCCCTGGTCAATGACCAGCTGAAGTTGTATATTAATTATGGAACCTCTCACTGCTGAGTCAGCAATTCCAATCTGTCTCAAGTCTTGGGAGGATTGTGCAATGGGATGCAGAGCTTTGCCTCTTTAGGTCTGTGACTGAAAGACACTATCCGACAGCCATTTTGTGGCTTATGTGAAATGAGCTGGTGGTTGCAGGCAAATTCCTAACAGGGCAGGTGACGATCACTAAAACCTCCATCCCTGCTGGCACTTACTGATCCCCTTGTCTCAGCACAGAGGCTGAGGCATGAATGAGCTGTAAAAAGTGAAAGCCCCTTTTACTGCTAGAGGTGGGAACTCAGAACTGAGGCAGTGTACGTTGGTGAGCCCATGTGCATGGGTGAAGCTGGTTTGGTTGCCACTGTCTCTAATGTTCCATTCAGAGAATAAACAAAGAACACCAGCCTCCTTCATGGTGCAGTCAGTCTGGCACATTTCCACATTGTCAATTTCACCTGAGAACATATCATTATATTTAAATGTAGGGGCATGTGTTTGAAGCTGTTTTTAATCCAGCCCCAGTGTAAAATCGACTCATGCACTGATGCTGTGCTGTTGCTGCTAATTATGAAGAAATAGATGATATTTTACTTTCCTGTCAATACATAAATGACCTGTCCCAGGTGAATAAGTGAGGGAAATATTGGAAGGTCGGTTTAATGAGGCCTCCCCTGGACAGAATGATGGAAAAGGCTAGGAGAACATGAGTTCCAAATGCTAGTGTATCCTTGGCTTCCGTCAGCTGGTTCTTCCTCAGGGTGATGTGTCTCCATGTCAGAAGCCCAATGCATGACCTTGCTCCCTTGAGCCTGACTGATCTCTGAGTGGGCTGAGTCCACTGATGTCTCCTTCAGCTCATAAGTGAATACTTCCATTTCCCCAGATTATAGCTACTGTTGGAGAACATTTGTCTATGATGAGGACAAGGATGAAGATGATTATTGGCCCAGTCACTTTGCTCCATGGATAATGCTATATTCTCTTGAACTCCAGTCCATCCTTCAGGTCAGTGGAACTTTAGGGAGGGGGAAAGTGCATCCAGAAATGATCCACAGTCACATGCAGAACCCATTTTCTGAACTGGACATTTCCTTGGCCTCCTTCAAAATCTCCCTGGTTCTGTGAGAGTTTTTCCTGCAGCTGAGTTATAACACATGGTGATTCCCAGATGAGCTCATGGGGATGCTAAAAGGACAGGAAAAGGTTCTTCACATCTTTTGTGGTGCTTAAACACCTCTGTGGTTTGCTTTATTGCAAAGCAGTATAAATGTAAAAAGGGTCCTGTCCTTTTAAGAGACAAACCCAACAGGGTTTTCCTCAGCCAACGTATAAAGCAAAGGTTTAGAGCAGGGTGGCCAACCTGAGCCTGAGAAGGAGCCAGAATTTACCAATGTACATTGCCAAAGAGCCACAGTAATACGTCAGCAGTCCCACATCCGCTCCCCAGCCCCCAGTGCCTCCTGCCTGCCCTCACCTATCAGTGCCTACTCCCCCCCCCCAGTGCAATCAGCTGTTTCACTGCATAGGAGGCTATGGGGGGAGGAGAGAAGAGCGAGGGCATGGCATGGTTTGGGGAAGGGGTGGAGTGGGGGCAGGGCTTGGGGCAGAGCAGGGGGTTGAGCAGGCACCCCCCGGCACATTGGAAAGTTAGCATCTATAGCTCCAGCCCCGGAATTAGTGCCTAGATAAGGAGCCGCATATTAACCTCTGAAGAGCCGCATGCGGCTTCGGAGCCACAGGTTGGCCACCCCTGGTCTAGAGCATGGCTAGGCAAGTTCCAGAGAGGGAAATCCCCCAGTTCTTCTCTCAGATCCCATCCTCGACCTAGAGACCTTTCTTCCTGACCCTCCCTTGCAGACTCGACTTCCAACTCTACACAGCACATCCTTCTCTCAGGGCCCGTCTATAATAGCAAAACTGTTGTCAGGCCTCCCAGCCCCCAATCAGAGCAGGTTAACCCCTTTTCCTGCCAACCTCTGGATGGGGTTTATATTCCCTCCCAGTAATGGGGCCATAGAATGTTTCATTGAACTCCCCTAAAATCTCCTCCATTTCCAAATCACCAGTGTCAGCAGTTGATCTGTAATCCACAATCAGAGCACGATGAGTAGAGCTGGTCAAAGAATGGAATTTCCCACAGAACAGAAATTCCAAGATTTTCTTTCATTCTACATTGGAACAAACCCAAGATCGTTTGAATTTTTTTGTAACCACTATCCAGAGGTGAAAGCAAGCAAGCACACCCACTGCAAAAAGACAACAGCCTGCTGACAAGAGCAGTGCTTCTCAAAGTCGGGCCGCCGCTTGTTCAGGGAAAGCTCCTGGCGGTCAGGGCCAGTTTGTTTACCTGCCGCGTCCTCAGGTTCAGCTGATCGCAGCTCCCACTGCCCGTGGTTTGCCATCCCAGGCCAATGGGGGCTGCGGGAAGTGGTGTGGGCCAAGGGATGTGCTGGCCGCCCTTCCCGCAGCCCCCATTGGCCTGGAGTGGTGAACCGAGGCCAGTGGGAGCCGCGATCGGCAGACTGGACCGCCGGGGGCTTTCCCTGAACAAGCGGTGGCCTGACTTTGAGAAGCACTGGACTCTGGAGCACACATGTGGAAGACCTAGGTTCAAGTCCCCACTCTGAATTAGA